TATTAATTCGTTTATTAAATATCTAATTCTTTATTTATCTAATATTCAAATATTCGAAATAAACCACAAATATTATGCTATATATACTATATGGACAGTGGAAACTAATTCCCATTTGTTGCTATGACACCGCAGAGCTATAAAATTAAATTAATATTTACAGTAAAATTAAAATGCATTTCGATGATGTTTCAATTATAATTGAAGTGTTAATTTTTCCATAACTGACAGCATCAGAAAATTCGATGTCGATTTATTTTCAAATATTCAAAATAAAGCATAAATGATTTATTTGTGCTATATTAATATGAATTCACATATCATATGTTGAATCACTAAGCATCAATATGAACTCATATATGTACAGGATATGCGCGAATATTGAAATGCATTTCGATGCCATTTCAATTATAATTGAAGTGTTAATTTTTGCATATTTTTGCGCAAAGTTAACTGTGCATATTGATGCCAACCGAAATAATGGAAAAATGATTGCCAAATGTAAATTGTGCTGCTGGCAACAGCCTCCTCGGCGGAGCAGCATTAATTGCGATTGTTACAGTATAATACATTTCATCGCATTGGATAATGCCAATGGAGATGCTTGAATACCATTTAATTCGATTTCCAATCGTTACCGAAATATTATTGAGAGCACTTTGCGGTCGCTTAGTCCGCGACATGCGCTGAATTTGTTAATGACATCAAATCGAATTTGGCTGTCATTGCGGTGTCTATGGTCTCTTCCGGATTCAATTGCATTTCCATTAGCTGCGATTTATACATTCACTTCAATATGCGACCGTTTGCAAGATTCGATATCGGTTGGCAGCCGAACGATAATGTTTAATGCTAGACGAAGTTAGTTAAAGTACAAAGTCTTCGCATTCAACGCACTTTGAGATGTACAATATGATAAAAAAGAAGTAAGAAGGCTCTAGTCGATAATTCTCGACTACGAAATCCCCTGAAGCCTTACAAGAATTGATATTTCAGTAATTATTCGCACGCATAAACACGCATGTGGGCTTACTATTACTATATTGTCGATAGACTATCCTCATGAAACTTTTAGAGCGTGATGATGTGTGTATGTGCTGAAGCATCTCTCTCTAGTCTCTAGTATTTGAAATACGCCTTTTACAAATATGTTGGTGAGGGGCTGGATATAGGGGTGGAGAGTGAATTTTGACAAAAATCGAAATTATATAAAACACAGTTAAAAGTGCATTTAAAATTTAGAAGCTCTAGCTCTAAAGGTGAAGGAGATATAGTAAAATAACTAGTTTTCGATAAGTTTTTTAATCGATAATAAGATATCGGTAGTAGTTTGCGATATATAGAGAAAAATTCGATATGCGCGTGATATACACGGACTTAGGAAAAAAGTCTCTAGCTCTTATATCTTCTGAGATTGACGCGTTCAAGCATACGTACAGACGGACAGGGCTAAATCGACTCAATCGTCGCCCTGATCAAGAATATATTTACTTTATGGGGTCTGCCACGCCTCCTTCTGCCTGTTACATACTTTTAAGAAAACTTTTATACCCCGATTTGCCATTTCAATGGGTTCAGGGTATATAAATGTGTATGAAACAGATAAGTCAAAATATATATGTAAGTATATTTTAATTTCTATTATTATTGCGTATTACGATCTCTTATTGTGTAAACTGCAATCAGGCATTTGGTGACACTCTATTCCTAATCTCTAACATGTGTGTGTGTGTTTTTTTTTTTCTGTTGCAGGGCATGCGTATGTCTGGCGAGAGCACGGAAATCATGCACCTGACGCACCTGGAGCGAGAGAGTGCAGGCGCTTACGCCTGTGGGGCAACGAATACGGAGGGCGAGACGCGCAGCTCCAGCCTCACGCTGAAAGTACAGTGTAAGTAAGCAGCTTTGCTGCGGCCAGGCTTGATAGAAAAATAGGTGAACTGTGTGAGCATGGCAGCCACTGACACTGCCAACAATATGATGAAATAACATGTCGAACGGAAGCGGAAGTTGCAAAATAAAATCAACTTGCTGCAGCTCGTGGCCATAGCAACAACAACAAAAATATACATATACATATATATTTGTAAGTTGGCAACTTGCGCAGCGGATGAGGAAATTGCTTAGAAATAATACATCGGCCCTCTGTGGCCGGCTATACGTGCGTACTTGTTTACAATTGTGGAATTGTTGCTGCCATCGGGCTAAATAACCGCCATTGATTTACACACAAAAGTTTCGGCCATAAATTTAACTCTCGCAGCGGCTCGGGCAACTTTTTTCATAAACCTCACGCACTGCCTTTGGGGATTTGGCTCTGCTGCTGCCTGCAATTTTTTATCGCAAGATTAATGTGCAGTGCATATAAAAACGATTGAACTGTATAAATCAGTTGATCAACGCAGACCTTCGTGTATACCGAAATTCTGAAGTGTTGCCCAAAATGAAGCCAAATGGAGCAAGCGCTGTCATCCCACGCAAATTGAATTCATTTGGCGCACCTTTCACACGTTACAGCTCCGAGGTGTGCCGAAAGATTGGGAATTTATCATAAATGGAATGGTCCTCTGTTTTGAGAAGAATATAAATTTAGTTCTATATTGTTGACATGGCAATAATGCAATAAACTTTAGTGGGACTTGAGTGAATTGAAAAACTCCAATTGGACTAAGTCCTCTCGCGATGAAAGAAATCTCATTCTATGTGATTTCTCTTATAATGAAATGCGTGCAACGAAGAGTTGCTTGAATGGAACATGTATATATGTATATGCATTATAAATCTTCTTTAGCCATAGACACACACACGCACAAACATAATCCTCTTAGTTGACGGAAATCTACAAAGGAAACTGAGTCATTTTTCAGTGCTCGCAAGTCGGAAATACGCTTTTTAAGCTATACGACAGTTAAAGTAGTTTTTATTTGGAATTATGAAAGTTTAACGCCTTGAGTTGTGGGCAACTTGAACTCAACTCACACACATTAGCAACAAGTACTTGTGCACACACACACACACACACGCAGACTCTGTTGCGAGACGTTTTAAACATATTGCGCTGAAATACAGGCAGCTTGTGATAACAGCAGCAAGTAATAAAGCCTCAAATACTTATCAGCCTTGCCGTGACTTACATACAAAGATGGCTTTCAGCGCGCGCACACAAACACACACACACATATAGCAGATGTGAATAGTGCACAGATGATGCGTCTTCATGCATGTAGAAATCCATGTTTGTATGGAGTACATATGTATATGTGGCAGACGGAGTTGCCTTGAGGGCTTGAGCGCTGCTTCCGCATATCTGTTCTCATTTTACATTGAAGTGAAAGTAAACTCGACAACATCTTCTCAATACCTGCTACACACACACACACACACACACACACAGACTGAGATTTACTCGCTTTTAAACATAAAGAGGGCAACAACAACGAGAGTCAGTACTCACGTTCATGAAACGGAAACATGTTAATTACTATGCTCAAGGCTATGTAGCTGGCACGACTTCCTCTTGGATTTAGTCTTCAGCTTAATGTTTTTTTATTTTTTTTTTTTAATTTTACTTTTTATTATTTTTTATTTTTGTTTGTGTACTTTGGCGTCCGGATGGCCAAACTCCGGCAGGGCGGAGACTGTTTACTTTCACGGCTGCTCTCATATCCGAGCGAGCCCTAAGCAGTGGCATTATAAAAGAAATGTTCTGCGGCTTAGCGACCTTTTCTGTGCGACACGACTTGATGAGATGATTTTGATTCTGTTTCCTTTTGCAGTCTCGCCGCGCTGTAAGCCGGGCTCGGAGCAGACATCCATTGGCGCCATTAACATGCACTCCATACAGGTGAAGTGCGAAGTGGATGCCGATCCGCCAGAGTCGGTCAAATTCAGCTGGACCTACAACAATACGCGCAATGTGTCGCCGGTAAGTGCCATTAGGCCAACTCCCGAATTGCATGTCAAATAAATTGAAACTAGGGACTGTGATTGCGAGGCGCCCAGTGCGCATAGTGCTCGGCTAAGAACTATCGATTCGCCAGGTGGAGGGCTGAGCCAGCCGAAGGTGGGCAGCTATTAGCAAAACTTGTGTTAAATACTCGGTAGCTGGAGCTGAAAGCTCGCACAGAGCACAAGGACACGAATCCAAACGGCAGACAGACTGAGCAACTTTGTACGTGACTGAATTAAAATTTAATCAAAATGTATAAATTGTGCAGTGGGAATGCCGAGAGCGTGGGAGTAGGAGTGCCAAACTGCAGCAAGGATAGAGAGAGAGAGAGAGAGAGAGAGTGAGTGAGAGAGAGAGAGAGAGGGAGGGAGACTGCGAGAAATTGAGCGAAAGACATGCATATGCGAAGCATTGGGGGACAGCTGTGCACAATAAATAAAGTAATTCATTTAGCTCAAAAGTTATTTGAGAATCTGCACGGAAATCCAGTGAGCAGAGCCACAAGTTGAGTCCCGCCTGGACCGCACTGAACTCAGCTTGGCTCGATGCGACTTATCCAACTGCATTGCAATAAAAACCTATTTGCCTTGAAATATTTATGCCAACTCAACTGCTCGAATGCTCCACTGCTCCACTGCTCCACTGCCTCGACTACCTCCACTGCCTGGACTATTCGACTGCCTTGGCAGGCTTCAATGATTTTGCTTACGTTTGCAGTCAAGCTGTAATCCATGCTCTTGTGCTTTCAGGTGCTGAACTCCCGGATACAATCGAATGGACTGACCAGCACTGTGACGTATCTGCCGCAAACCGACTCCGAGCTAATAACACTGGCTTGCTGGGCCAGCAATGCGGTGGGCCGGCAGACGGTGCCATGTCTCGTGCACATTCTGCCAGCAAGTAAGTAAAGGAAATTGTTATCATCTCAGACCCACTACCACCCCGCACCCCACACCACCCATCCCACAACTCGCCCATAGTCGTCTGCCTGGCTGCCTGCCTGCCGACATTGTGTGCAATTTAAACAAGACGCCGCCGGTGTTTGTATTGGTGTTGCTGTCAGACACTGGGCGTACATATATGTGTGTGTGTGTGAGTGGATGTATTATGCACATCTAAGGATCTACTTACATAATTGGTTACCTGCTGTGCATGTGTGTGTGTGTGTGTGTGTGTGTGTGCTGGCAGCCAGACAGCGGTCAAAACTCATAGCAAATAATCAGAGCGCGCGGTCTGCCTCAATTTCCACTTACAGCTCTTATTAAGCTTGTACGTTATTAAGGCAAACTGTGGGCGTGTGGAAGTATGGGCGTGTCCTGATGATGCCTTTATTTGCTCAAAATGGCGAAATGCAAATTTGTTGCCAATGCCAACCGTAAACTATCCTGCCATCGAGTTCATTATGAACAAAGTCTATCATCAACTCTCACTCTCTCTCTTTCTCTCCCTCTTGCTCTCTCTCTCTCTCTCTCTCTCTCTCTCTCTCTCTCTTCTGCAGATGCACCAGAGGCGCCAAAGGCCTGCGAACTGCGCAACGATACCGTCCTCGAGGTGGTCTGTGTGGCCGGCAGCGACGGCGGACTCACCCAATACTTCATGCTGGAGGTGGTGGGCGGGGATTTGCTGTACGCCAGCGAGTCGGCGACGGGCAAGGGCCAGTTCGGCGACACGAATGGCCAGGTCGACAATGAGCTGTCCACGCTCAACGATCAGGTGAGTCCCCAATTGAGTTCAAGCCAAATTTGCAACACGTGCCGGCGAGAGAGGCCGGACTGATTGAATTAAAATTATGTCATGGATGGGCTAGCGAGCGAGTGAGCCGGCGAGCTGATTCGCTCGAAATCCATATGGTCAATTAGTGTGCTCGTCCTTTCTGACTTTTCTGCTTGAATTATTAATGAATATGATTTTGAGTTGAGTTGAGTCGAGTCGAGGCGAGTGGTCCGGTCCGGTCCGGTTCGGTTCGGTCGTACGGGTTGAGCCACTAGGCTCAAGCGTAAAAAGGACAACATAATTAATGCTATAGATTGCCATCCGGGGCGAGCAGTTTAACCAACTGTGAGGACGCTGGATGACGGACGAGATGGAGGAGACGTCATCCATAAGCCAATGTGGCGAACACATGCTGAGTTATTAAATTATCTCTGTCACTCGTAAAAGAGAATATCATATGAAAATTTCATTTCATTTCGTTTGGCTGCTTTCAGCAACTTAAGTTAGCAGCCGGAGAGGTCCTGCAGAGGGGCAGTTGAGAGTCGGCAGAGGCGGGGCAGCAAGCAAACTGGGCAAGCTGACTTGCCACGCTGCTGAAGGGCTGGGCGGGTGAGTTTATTAGCAAAATAGCCAAGCGCAAAGCAACGACAGGTCGAGGAGCTGAGGCAGAGCGAGACGAGCAACGGATGATGCGCAGGACATGGACCAGGACATCTGACCGAGCGACGTTGGACGTTTGCAGCTTAAAAGTTTCACGCTAGATAAAAACGGTATACAGGAGGCGAAGCAGCAGCTTGTGTACTCAGTGGTGCGGTGGTGCGGTGGTGCGCTGGTGCGGTGGCTCGGTGTGGGTATGCATAAGCGCCGCAAGGACAACATAAATTACTTACGCTTACTTGAGTGGGAATTTGTGCGTAACCAACGAAGCTCACTCGATTGTGTCCCATTACGGCAAACGGATATTCAGTTTAAAATTTCAGACAGCGCTCTGGTCAGAATGTGGCTCTGCTGCCCCCATACAAGTCTCGCAATCTGAGCACATTTTTAGGCATGAATAATTATTTATCTGCTGTGTGTGTGTGTGTGTGGGTGTGTGGCCCAAAACTTGGCAACAAACAAGCATCGCATAGCTTACTTTGGCTCAGCCCAGGCATATGGCCAGCATATTATAATGCGACATATGTCTATCTAACATAAACATATCCATATATTTATATTTGTATTTATGTATATATTTATATCTACATATATGTACATGTATGTATTTACTTTGTTTTTTTGGCTCATTCACTTTGTTTCAGGCTACATCTGCACCCATCTTCCGCATGCAGGAGAACAGTCCACAATTTCGTTTGAATAATTTAGAGCCGGGACGTGAATATCAATTTTTAGTTTACGCCGTCAACGCAAAAGGACGCAGCGAGCCGCCGGTGGTGATTGAACGTGTGCGAGTCGCCGCCCAACTGGGACCATATGGTGAGTAACCAAGCCGATTCCGAATACAAAGGCAGACCCCACATAAAGTGTGCCAAAATATTTTCCAATTGCCTTTGCCAGTTGCGGGTCATTTTTTTTTTTTTTTTTTTTTTTTTTTTTTGGCAATGGCAATAAAGTTCGTCGAGTTGGGTTGCTGGTAGTTTGTAGTTGATAGCTGCCAGCAATCGACGTGGCTGTCTAATTCAACGCTTCAGTGCATTTTCAAATCAACGCAAGTTCAACAAAATCATCTTCAATCAGGCGCCGCGAAAACTGTGCGCAGGCACTGGCAAAAGCACAAGCAGAAACAAAAAAGGACCTTATGTCCTGGCTGCTTGCGAGGCGATGGGGCGATGGGGCGGTGGGTCTGTGGGGCTGCCTTGTAGGCTTGCTGTTGGAGACGCCCTTTTCTAATCCACTGACTGAGTTATGCAGCGATGCGTAAAGCATTTCAGCATTTTCCATCAATGCGGCAAGCGAGCTACGCATATTACGTATACGCAGGGGCGTGCCGCTACAGCCTCTTAATTTTTCCCATTCTTAACGACATAACGACAACTCTGTGCGCCTCTATGTGTGTGGTCACATGTGTGTGTGTGTGCGAGTGTGTATGTCATTGGCAGTGCCCTTGTTTATTTCATACCATCGAGCGAGAGGGCGAAGCGAAATTGCTTCAATTTTCCTTTTGCTTAACGGGAAGCCGTAGACACTTTGCTTTTATTGTTCGCCTCTCGCAGGCATTCGCATTCGCATTCGCATTCGCATTCACATTGACACTCGCACTCACACTCACACACTCATTCATTGCGTACATGCACGTAGGCAGCAGCGAGTACAACGTTGTCATTATTTTCATGTTGATTTTTATTTTTATCTGCATTTCCATTACCATTTTCATTTTCATTTTCGTTTTCGTTTGCACAGCCACACTTTTCTTTTCCTTCTTCTTCTTCCTTTTTTTGCCATTTCCATTGCCAGCTGGCCATAAATCACATATAATATTGACCGATTTAATGCGACTAATTGTGCCTCATACGCAAATGTTCAATTCAATGTGCGTTGCTTGCCAGCCAAGCCAAGCCAAGCCAAGTTCTCTTGCCTCACACTTCGGCGTCTCTGATGTCGTCCAAAACAATAAATGCGATTACCACGGAGCTACGCCTGCAGGCAGATCCCTTGAAAGCTTGATAGGAGTAATTTATGCGAAATTTTAACAGTGTGCCAGCCAAGGTCTGCCCACGCAGCTTCTATTATTCACACACTGCCGCAAATTGTGCTTCCGCAAGTGTATGTGTATGCGAGTGTGTGTGTGTGTGTATGTGAGTTACTTGCCAATAGATAGGCCAAAGACAGACAGCGCCGCCCTGGAGTCGCAATATTCACGTGTGAATAACGGCAAAGCCGTCGACGCCTGACGCTGATTTTTGCTGCTGTTGATTTAAATCAGTTTATGCCGAAATGAAACACGAACACATGGGGCTGAAATATTCGTATATTTCTTTTTATTTTTTATTTAATGAAAACCCGAGAAGGCTGCACAGCAAATAAATTGCCAAATCTGCCAAGAGAAAACAAATCTTTTAGCCCGGAGCCAGATGAAAGCAGATCTAAGCAACTGGTGAAAGAGAGAATAAATCAAAATATGCGAACGCAGTAGATACCCATTGAAAAAGCTTAGAATATATAATATGTTTTTTTAAGTGCTAAGCATAGCTCAAGCTGAAATGTTTATGTCTATAAATGTCTATAAACGAGCGACCTGTGCTTACATTCTCTGCATTTGCAGAGTATACAAGAAAAAGCTTAAAATTGGCCAAGAATATTGTTAAGAGAAGCGTTGGCAAAGGCCAACAACATCAATGGCAGCCGCACAACAACCTAAATTCAATTGAGCCGCAGGTGTAGGCAATTTCCACCTAAATGCTCGCCTTAAAAGCCAGACGAGAGCCACCAGCGCCACTGGAGCCAGCAGCAGGCCAACCACTTGGCAGTGTTTCAAATCGAAGCCCGCAAATGGAGCGGAAATGTTGCATAGCGGATAGAGGTGAAGGCGGCGACTCTTACTCCAGCTGGGGGCATCTAGGCACCTGGGCAGGTGGGCAGGTGGGCAGGCAGACAAGACGAATGAATCGCATAAATCTTGCCGGGGGATCATCTTACAAAGAGTTGGCTCCTGCAATTTCCGCCTCTAAAAATCTAATAAACATAAACAATGCCCCGTCGCATGTTGCTAATAATTGGCAAAGCTTTTGCAATCTGGAGCAATCAGTGTCTTGATTTCGTTGCCCTTGGCAGCGGAGAGCAATTAAAGCTCCATCGAGTAGCTGCTCGACCCTCACACAGGGCCAGGTCAATTGGGCTAATTTCAATTTTCAACACAATTTGCTATGGCAACGTGAACGAAAGCGAAAGAGAAAGAGAAATCGAAAGCGAAAGCGAAAGCGATAGCGGAACGACTTAATGCAAAGAAAACAAAAACATCCCCAATAAGAAATACAAATATAGAAAAGCAGAAACAGTTAAAGCAATCAGTTTAGCAACACACACACATACACCCGCGCGCGATGCCAAAATAAAACAAAACAAACAAATAAATAGCAATGAAACGAGAAAATAAAAGAAAGCGAGCAGAGCCAAAGATGAAAATGGGGAGCTGTGCCAAGGGCTGCTCCATGCTCCCCCTCCCACAGCATCATACTAATTTCGAGCAAATAACAAATCATTGCTCACCCCGGCCCAGCGGATGCCTGGGACTGGGTTGGCCCAGCAAAAACTATTTGATGTCTAACCTGCGTCCACTTTATGCTGTGTTTTATCTCACTTGCAGATGAATCTATACTCTCGGAGGATCCGACGCCCGCGGAAACCACGCATCATGTGGGCGGCAGCGGCAGCAGCGGCGGTGGCCCAAGCGGCGTCGGCGCCGGCGCCAGCATCGCCAGCGGCCCAGAGAAGGAGTCGACGCTGCTCATACTAGCCGCAGTCGTGGCGATAGGCGCCGTCATTGTGACGTCAATTATCGTGGCTGGCATTGTAGTTGTCTGTCGGCATCGGCCGCGGCCACCTGAGCCGCAGGAGGTGCGCAAGAGCATGCGGTAAGTTAACCACGAATACCCTGTAAAAGCCGAACCATTAAGGGGGAATGCCTCAAACGAAAGAGAGTAATGAATGAGGTTCAACTATTGATATGGAAGTCAGCATACCCTGTAGCTAAAAAGCGCAAGCACAGGATATCTCATAGTCGAGTCAGCGTATGTTTTGGGGTGAGCTCAGAGAGAAATTGATAATACAGTAATACAGTTATGAAGTCGAAGCTAAAGTGCCTGTAGCTAAAGAGACGAAGGTTTGTCGTGAGAGGGAATAGGATATTTCATAGTCGAGTCCGTTTGTGTTTTGAGGTGAGTTCCAGGAGAAACCAATAATACAATTCAATTATTGTTATTCAAGTCAGCATACCCTGTAGCTAAAGAGACAAAGGTTTGTTTGCATCTCGAGAAAGAAGAGGATATCATCCTCGCGAAAAAACTGGATATCTCCGAGTCGAGTACTTTTTGATCAATAATTGTAATTCAAGCCCTACCCTGCACCTAAATAGGACAAAGCTTGTTTGCATAGGAAAATGAATGAGAGGAAAAGCCTTGCTTATATCTCGAGAGCGAACAGGCTATCTCATAGTCGACTTCTTAACTACTCCATGAGCTGAGCGCATGGAAAAACTAATAATAAAATTGTTTCTTCTGCTGTTGCGGCTATGTGTGCGAAAATAATTACAGCATTATTTATGTGGCGCACGTGGGCTGCAGCAGAAGTAGGTGCTGAAATGGGAGTATGAGCTGCATAAATAATTGCAACATATTTCACTGGCCCCCTTTGCTGATTACACACAATTAAGAATCACGTCAATTGCCAGAGACGAGTGCATATTAAGCTGCACAGCTGCCACGGGTTCAAGACTTGAGTCTTTAAACTCGGCCATGGGCACAATTGGCAGGGGCTTCGCATCAGGCTCATTAAACATTTCGCACGGCAATGGCTGAATCGATTAGCCCGCAGCCATAGACCCGAAGCCATTCGTCGGGCCGGGCTAAACAAAGAGCACGCAGCTGCCCACTAAATTATGCTTAGACTGTAATTAAATTAATTAAACCTGCACCTGACTGCGTACCACAAAAGACCAAGAGAAAAGAATCGAATTGAACGACACTAGCCCACACCTATTTCTGTGTCTGTGTGTGTGTGTGTGTGTGTGTCGGTGTCCTGTCCGGAAGAGGAAGCCGGCAGCCCTGACACTGTCGCACCATCAACTAAGTTTCATTTAAGATAAGAAATCAGCGTTAATTTTGAAAGGGTCGCACGGCAGAGAGAAGATAATTAAGCAGCTGCTTAACCTGCCTGTGACTCGTTCGCTCTCTCTCTCTCTCTCTCACTCTCTCTTTCTCTCACTTTGTCAACTGTCAGCTGCGGCCCAGGTCTGTGAGGCTGTGTCTCTTCCAATGAAAGACAAACTCTCGTTGCCAGTCAAACTGGGTGCGTGAGTGGGTGTGCCACGCCTCAGCCGAGCACCCGTTCAGTTAGCCGAGTATACTTTTTGGCCTCATCCGGCTATTGGCCATCGTGCCACATTTGTACTGTCACTTAATCGTATCAGGTGCCCGATTATGGAGCGAGCACCACCGCAAGACGTGCCACCCGAGGCTTGGGTACAGGCAACAGAATCAAAGCAGAGTCGAGAGAGATTATTAATTATGAAACTTTCAAAAACTTGACTGGCCTCTCTCTCTCTCTCACTCTCTCTCTCTCACTCTCTCTCTCTCTCTCTCTCTCTCTCTGCTCTGCTCTATTACATAAAAGCGCACCACATGGGAGTCATTAAATACTCGCTTTACATACTCAAATAGTGAGGCGCAATAATAGAATATAATTGCAGACTCTCATTTCATTTATATCAGAATGACTACTGTACATGAATAGATCAATGGTTTACAACTTCAATGACATTTAGAGATAGCTAGCAAATAACTGCGGATCAGTTCTCGATGTCTGCAAAAAATAATTTTTACTGCGATTTCGAGCAAAAGCTCAGAGAGCAACCAACTGAGTCTGTGCATTCTCGTTCCTTCCAGTTCCTGAGTTAGATGAAGCAAAAAGTCTTTGGTATATGTAGTGTAGGTATGTGAGAGTTGACCACGAATAGATCGCTTACCGAGACCCAAAACGAAAAGGAACGAAGGCACCTGCTCAGAGCGGGAGCGACAGAATATGATTCTTCTCTTTGATACGCGAGCAAAGTGTATAGAATCAAGCAAGTAACAGTAATTTGCAAGCTATGCGTGTAGGTGTATTGACCCTTCGACCCTTTTACTAGGTGCAGGTGTATTAACCCTTGACCCCCCACACATTGTTCTCATGTGCGCTACAGCATAAATTTTAGCGATTTGTCTCTTGTGTCAAGTCATAGTGCAAATATTTGAACGCCCACACGTACACACACACTCTCACACCCAGACGCACACTCTTACACCCGCGCGTCTGCAGCTTGATGGTGTGCGGGTCCAGTTTCAACTGATAAGCGCTCGTCGGATTTAATTACCACATGCGCCAAGCGTGGTGCAAAATGAGTTAGGGCTAATCAGGGGAGAGCCAGATTGGAATTGGGTCCAGTTAAATGCGCGTAATCAGCCAATGCGGTATTGCGTATACGCCACGTGCAACGTGAAAATATGACACGGCTGGAAAAGTAACAGCATTTGATCCCATGTGACCCGCCCCCAGCTAGTTGTTGTTGTTGTTTTTGTTGACCTGTCGCTTAGGTTGAGCTGCTTCAGTTTGAAACAAACTTGTCGCAGTGCACCGAAAACAAGTGGACGACGCGTCGTCCTGGGAGCTATTCGAAAGTTGTTGTCGGGCACAGCTCGCTGGGCAAATGTGTTTGTAAAAAATGTATTAATAGATTTCTGCAACTTGTTTTTCTCTTTTCTCTCTTTTCCCCACAGGCCGGCGCGCAACGATGTGCCCTCCATGTACATTGAGGAGGACGAGCTGAACGAGCTGGAGGAGGGCGGCGGCCGGGCAGCAGAGATACGCGCCCGCATCACACCTGCCAGCTCGCACCTGTGCCACGGTGCTGGAGCCATGAGCGCCACCGGTGGCGGCAGCGGCGTCAGCGGCGGAATCGTGGGCGTCGGCGGGCCACATCACTACATCTCCGAGAGCTTCATCCAGTACGCGCAGCCCAGTCTAAACGGTACTATTCCAAAATCTATACTCAACAAACTGTAGCCAGTAGCCATAGCTAATAGTAATCTAGTAATCTAGTCCGACTCCTTCTACAATTATGATTTAATCTATGTATCTCGTAATTAGCGCTCTTTTGCATCCACTTGGTTTGCTCTTTACCTCTTGAGTTCTGTTTGGAATCGCACTCCGTAAATTAGTTCTATGCATAGCTTTAATTGATTGATTGCTGCAATTGAATGAAACTGTTTCCAACTCTGAATACTGAATACTGTAAATACCTGTTTGATATTCATGCACTCGCATCACCAATGCGAATACGTATTAATGTGTAATTTTATCGAGTAACTCTATGACCTATGTTTATGTTTATTAGCCAAATATCAGCAATGGATGAGAAATCAAATTAATAAAATGCCAATGCGACTGATGATTCGGTTCATCAATGAGTCCATCTATCATGCGATACGATTTTATTTTCCCATATTTTACCAAATTAATTTTAAATAGCTTCAAGTGCATGTGAGTTTAGATTTAATTAGTTGTAAATTGACTGAAATGGACGACGCGTTTGTGTATATTATTTGTGGTTAATATTGCGCACATATCCACTTTCATATTGCACACGCACACACATACACATGCACTCACCAATTCAATTATAATAAGTTGCAAATCATTTATAATATATATTTTGAAAATGATCTAATTGGGCATTTTTCGATTCGCTAAGTAGCTTATAATATAATTTAATTAGTGCACATCGAAGCCATTTAACGTTCTCATTTGAAGTGAATCATTTAACATGCTTAACTTTGTAGAGCAGCACTTGCAGTCTGTACTTACATTGTAGCTGGTGTGGGGCCCCGACTGTATTTAGAAATAGCTCTCTTCAAATTTTCCCTCTGCAGAGACTCTACTCACTCTCTCTCTCTCTCACTCTCCCTCTGTCTCTCTCTCTCTCCCTTTTTTACTATGTACCTCTCCTGTTGGTTGTTTTTAGCTCATCACCAAATAACATAGTTGAGTTTTAGAGTTGAGGGTTTAAATACCTTGAGTAATACTTAAAGCAATGTAGTGCACACAGATTCTTTCGTAAAATTGCAATTTTCACCAACCTTTTACTATTGTACTGCTACAACCCCCAACCACCCCCGCTCACCCGTTATCTGTGTCACCACTAACGATGCATTCAAACACTGTTACCGCTAACCCATCCTAGGCGACGTGCTGCTACCTTTGCTTGTTACTGCCAGCCAGCCGACTAGCCGCTACCACCGAGCCGTTGCCCCGCTCACCCACTCGGCCACAATGTCGGACGTGGTCGTGGCCATGCCCCACCCGACTGCCGCAAAGCTATGTGCAACGGCTGCCGATGCAGCCGCCTGGCCGCCCGAATGTATGCAAACTGAATTTTATACAACCAAATCTGTGCACAAAACCTGAAAGGCAAGAACCATTGCAGAGAAACAAAAACGATTCTACAACACACAGACACCGACACACACACACACGCACACGCACACGCACACTTCATAACTGCAACAGGAGCAACAGATTGAGCTTTAGCTGGGTCTCAGTCATGCGGTGCTCCACTCTGCACCACCTGCACACGACGATTCATCAAGACTTAAGTCGAGCAAAAGACTTCTCAAATACTCTTTGGAGTATCAGAATTCAAATGAAAGCACAAAAACTACTTGATTTCACAATTTTTTTGTCACACTTCACACTCAACTTCACTGCTTTCGAATGCTTCACTTTTGCATACTCTATTCACTGCAGAGAAAGGGGGATTCGAATCATATGAATACCATTCATAAACAGCTCAGCATAGATTGAATTATTACATCACTCAAAATTAAATCATTCAGAGCACTTGGAATGACTTATTTTGCAATCGAATTTTAATTCGCACTCATTACAGGGTATTTGGCAGTCGTGTTGCAGCTCTTGTGGTGTCATATTTTCAATTCGTCTGTGTCTTTTGTGGATGACTCTGTCCCTGGCATTTTCTCTTTATTGTGTAAATTTTGCTACAAAGCCACAAATTTCTTTTAATTGAGGGAATTTTGGCAATTGTTGTTGGTATTCCTGCTGCCCAGAAGGAGCCGTAATTGCTGCAGCAGTTGCGACGCAGAAATGAAGAGTCTTTTAGCCTTTTACTTCGGTTAAACGTGATTGCAGTTCAATGCTCCTGCTCAACGGTAACCAGGCTCTATAATAGATACTTTACAAACAGTTAAAGCATGGGCAAAGGCAATAGGCAAAATGCAGGAGAAGAGCTCGCCCAGAATGGCTTTCGAGAGTCAAGTCATCTCATGGCTGGTCGGAGGCCAATGCAAATGACAACAACAGGAATAAAGGAATCAGCCACACAACAAGTGACAGGACAATGGCGCACTTGCATCTTAAATATTGTATTTAAAAAGGACAAACGCAGCAGGCAACTGCAGGACTCACTGCACGGCCACTGTAGAGCCGCTTGGCTCTTCTTTGAGTACATTTCGCTCGCCAAGGACAATGCTGGCAGCATGCCAGTAATCGAATATCGAAATGTTTGGCATTGTTGTGCTCACAGCTAATAAGGGCTAAAATATACATATCATATTAATACAGATTCAGTTTCTAAAAATGCTTTACAAAATATGCAAGAGCTACACTAAAGTCGAAGGAGTTGATACGAGAGATAGCTAAGAGGTTCATTTATTTATTTATTTTTATTTATTTATTTTTTTTTTTTTTTGTATGTAACAAGATGTAAGATTTTGTTAAAACTGGAATACGAWGCGGCTGTTTCCTATTTTTGCCATTTTTTTAGTGCTCGCTTCCACTGTGCCTGTGCTTTATCGACGCAGCTATGTAGTCGCTGTGTATTGGTAGCTCTGCGAGTGTGTGTGTGCGTCGACAAAGCCCTTTGGACATGTTGCAGCAATACGAGCACACTCACACACACAGATACAGACACATAGAGAACTTGCAAAGTTATATGCAAATACTTGCTCATATCTAGTGCTCGTATATTGCACGCTCGGAGAGTGCAGCAAACAAATTTGCAGAATTTGTTGCTCGCTCTGTTTATTTTGCGAGCTCTTGTATACTTTGTTTTTACTTTTGAATTGCATAAATTTCAATTATGTATTGCAAAAGCACTAAATTAAAAGGCACAAATACGAGTGTATGCACGCGCTCGCACACACACACACACACACACACACGCACACATAACATGGCAGTATGTCAACATGGCAAATGCAAATATTATTTAATGGGCAGATGTGACGTATACGTGATATTATTTTTAATTTAATCCGGCCGCCCTTTGGCGCTGTCCTCCCGCCTCGTGCAAAACTCACAAATTAGCTACATTTGATTTTGTCAACGATTTAATTTGCTGCTTTTTCAGCTTTCTCTTTATTATGCTCGCTTTTCATGAATTTTGATGGTTCGCAGGCCCGACAACTTTTAATTTATAGGCGCCCCAGGCAGCCAGCTGCGACATGCCACGCGGCCTCTCACATTTGACTGTCAAGCGTAGCGCGCGTAACGCTGCTGCAAGCGTATTTGTACAGCCCCTCACCCTCACCCCCGCGTCGCACTCTGACGCAGACATAAAACAAGTTGACTTGTTCCTGCTTACAAGACACTAACAAGTGCCAAAGTCAGGCTGAAGTGTGCAAAACCTGCGCATAAAAAAAATTAAATAAAATAAAATAATAATAATACTGAAACTGTTTAAAGTTGGTCTTGTTGAAAATACCCTAAAGCTAACAAAAAAATACTGCATATGACGCAATTAGAGACTCAAAGCATTTTTAATTCCGCTTTCAATGGCTTTAGATTGGCAATTTTGTGGGCACGTGAAAAAGGTTGACATGAAATGAAAGAGACGACAGCAAAGAGATTATACGAAACATATGCATAATAAAAAATACAAAAAGTACATCTGAATGGATGAAAGTGATCTTACTCACCGATATTATTCATTTGGGATTTTTGATTGTATTTCTGTTGATATGTTGCCTCTAAACTGAAGGCTATTGATATTAACTTCTCGGTGATCTTGTTACCTGTGCTGCCCTCTCTTACCTGTTACCTGTAATTACAAGGGGCTTTTAGTTATACGACCTGCCTTTACGTGTCAGCCCGCTCGCATTTCTGCCAAACTTCTTCTATGCACTTATGTACTCCGAGGGCGCATAGTGCATAACTGAGACTCAGACTCAAAGATAGCACTTAGAGCGCACTAATTCAAGTGAAAGAAGTGAGCTACTCTTATGTGTGCGTGTGTGTGTGTGTGTGTGTGTGTGTGTGTGTGTGTGTGTGTGCGTGTGTGTGTGTGTGTGTGTGTGTGGTACACAGCCCCCATGGCTGTCAGCATTCAGCGACTGCTGCTGTTGTCATTAGCCAACATTTTTAATTGCATACGGTCCCGCTAGGTGGCGCCCACGTCGCAAATTGAATGAAAGGTGGGTCAGCTGAGATGCTGCTGCCCCCGCGGAGACTGTTGCTGCCTCTGCTGCTGCCTCTGCTGCTGCTGTTACTCCTGCTGCTTGTGTGAGTTAAGCGCGTGTTTTCTTCATATACAGCGAACTTCGAGCGCAGGCAAATACGTTTGACTTTTTCAGCTGACATACACAGTTGTATCAGTGTGTACGTGTACGTGTGTGTGTGTGGATGGGGTATAGTGTATAGAGTATATGTATTTATATACATACATACACTTAAGTGTTTGTTTTTGCGTATGTTTCTTTTTTTTTTTTTTTTGTGCACATTTGTTTCGTTTCATGCTGCAACATTCATTTTGCTCGACTTTTTGTCTTACGCTCGTTGTTGTTGTTGTAGCTTCTGTCGCTGTGTGGACGTTTGTTTTGTTTGTCATGCGTCGCTTCGCCAACTGGGTAGCATTTGTGTAGCTGTCCTTGAGCCTTTGCTTTCTGCGCCAGCTGCCGCACACACACACACATGCACAAAGTCAGACTGAAAGACAGAGGGAGCAAGAGTGAGAGGCATATTTGAGTATGTGTGTGTGTGTGTGCGGGCTGGCTTGTTTTTGAGTTCTTGTACACTTCACTGGCACTCGTCTAATTAGACAATGTTGAGTCTGGGCCCGCAGTGGCTGCCAGCGAAATGGATGCTTGCTCGAGACGACTAAGAGCCATCATTTGTCGCTGCTCGCTTTAAGGCGCCTTAAAGCATGCTGTAAAAAGCAGCGATGGCTGCTTTGGATGCCTTGGGCGTTTGGGCATCAACTTTGATGTCTGTGGGCCAGCCACACGAACTGCCACACAATTTGCTTTGGCAACATTGTTGATGCGGCCTATGCTGGCACACGCACACACACACACACACACACTCGCACACGCACTCGCACCCACACAGGGTTACTCTGTGCCGCCACTTCAATGTCAACGCTCATTCATTTGTCGCCGCACTTCCGCTCCGCTTGCTCCATTTGCCTTTGAGACCCAGGGCTGGCAACATTTTTGCAACTTTTGACATTTTTAATGCTGCCAGGCATGGCGTGAAAGCAAACGTGAAAGGCCACAGACACGCACACACACCAACACACACACACGCATACACATATATACAAAGTGTGACGCCATTTGAGGGCTGCTTTAGTTTGTGCGTCTTTATGACTCAAAGACGCCGCACAAATGTGACATAAAAGGCGATAATAATAAAATATAACACAGGGCGCTGTGACACTGCGAGCCTCAAATAACATACTGCAAAATCGTAAACAACGTTGCCGGCAGTCAGCGCTAGATGGCGCTTCAGTTTCACTTGACCCACACTCAAACTCAAACTCGAACTCGAACTCAAACTAACTTAATGTGCAGGCGGCATGGGCGGGCAGCACAATAAAATGAAATCGGACATAAATGTGCGATAAAAATTAAGAAATTGTTGAATTATTTTATATTTACGAGCCAGCTGGTCTCAGTGCCGGTGTTTGGGGGGAATATTAATATTTATATGTTGCTGCTCCTGCTGCTCCTGCTGCTGACGCTAGTCCTGCTGTTGTCGTTGTTGTTGCTGTTGTTGTCGTTGTTGTTATTGTTTTTGTTTTGCTTTTTTGCTTGGTTGTTGCTCTTATCGGCGCACAGTTGGTCACGCTTTTGATATTTGCTAATAGTTACGATATCTTTGTTCTTTTTATATATTTTTCATTTGCTGCCAAAACAATTTGCAACTGTTATATGATGTCATTTTGCAAGTGCTGTAAATTTCAGYCAAACTGAAAATAAAACCAAGCAATAATAATAATAATAATAATTTTAATAATAATACAAGAGACAATGAAACAAGCTAAACTAATCGGTAAACACAATTTGTACTTTTATTTCTCTTTTCACTCGCAACCATTTGACTCTCTCTTTCTCACTCACTCACACTAACACTTGCGCATTATTCATTTATAATTTTATCACACTCACACATACACGCACACACCCACTCGCCATTGCTGTTGATTTCGTTTTATGCCAACCAACCAAAGTGTATATTGCAGACCCAGATCTGATATTGCCGCGCGGCGAATTGGAATTTACGACTCTGGATCCCACGCTGAAGTAATTGTAAAATGTAATAATACCTAACCGCAGCGCATACTACATAGCCACGCCCATAGCCCCACACGCCCAGTCCGTCTCATGCTGCACCACGCGAAGATAAACGAGACGTCGCCACGTCGTACATTAGCCAAAATATTATTGATGGCCATCTCATTTTACCTAGCTGTAAATTTTTAGCCTAAATTTAAATATATTAATGTCAAAGGTAAACGCACACGCATGCATATTTATAAATCTATATTTACATGTGTGTGTCTGTCTGTCATACACATGGGATAAGCCCTTCTTTTTGTATAAGTGTCGGACGAACTGCAAAAGCAAAAATCAAACACAAATAGAAACCAAAAAAAAAAAAAGAAACAAAAACAAAAACAAAAACAAAAGGAAACCAAATCGGCTTTGCCACTCTATAAATACACTGCAATCTTGTAACTGAAATCAAAACTTGAATATTGTAAATACTATTAAATACTCCACACACATACACCCACACACACACTCACATTTTTATACAAAGATAAATACTAGAATAGCGAGCGATTTCAGCAGGCGCCAACTACTGTACATAGATAAGGGAGAGTCATGAATCAAATCGCATTTAACTGTTAAATTCTAAATGTAATTGAAATAAATAAGTCAGTTATTAAACTAGTTTTAAGGCCAGGCCGAGTCGCTGTGGGCCAACTGTGTGTCTGTGTGTAATTCAAGTATTCAAATTGTAATTAAACTCGAAGGAGGAGCAGAACGAGAAGCAGACGAGAGCCAAACGCTAAATCAAATCTCATCAAAATTAAGTAAGCAGCTAGCATTGTAACTAAGTAAAGTACTCAACGTATGCTAAGGTCGAAACGAAATGTTTATAGGAGAATATTCGAGTAGCCGATCTCGAGAGCCCAGAGTTGCTCACATTTGCAAACACTTTGAATTTATTAGCCACTCATGGACGTTATGCACTCGCCTTTCGAGAGCCAGAACATGAATTTATAGCAACAGAATCAATATCAGAATTGTTAAACGTCAGTCAGTTAGCCCGGCAGCAGAGCAGGGAAATTCTTTCAAACTCGATTTCTGAGTGGCCTCAATGGGAATGTCAAACTGGCTGGAGTTATTGTACAGTGGCACGAGCTTTCTATAAATAGGGGCTGCTGTTAACTATATAACTATGTATATAAATATATATATGAATGTATTTATATATATTCATGAATATTCTATTACCATAACAAAGGCCGAAAATAAAGTGAGCGAAAACTTCGAGTGCATAATGAATAAATGTTAAATAAATTACAGACTTACAAGCCAACGCAGCCACAAATTTAACTCAAATAATAACAGCAAGAGCAACAACAACAACAATAACAACAACAACAACAGCAATACGAGCAACAGGAGCAAAATGTAGCAACAACTACCGTTGGCAGATAAATAGCAACGGCTACAATAATACAAATTAATTCATTGTATGTAAATGTTATAAATAACCAAAGTAATCGACTAAAAATACATAAAATTTAAATACAGCAGAATTCATGCGAACAGACAGACATACATACATATACATATATGTGTTTGAATGTGGATGTGAATGTGAATATCAAATATGCAAAACCAAATAGCAGCCTAGCAAAATATACACTGCGTATGCGTAATAAAACGAATTAAAATTATACCACATAGATCAAAAGTGAAGCGAGACGAGAGCAGGAGTCGAGGCGTGGCAAGTCGAGTGCACTCAGAGAGCATCCATGCACTGGCACTTGCAATGCGACAATTCTGCGACTGTCTCCTGTGGCTCGCTCTCACCTAACTACCCTAAGCTCTCTCTGTCTTTCTCTGAAGATATTGCAAAACTAAACTGATTATTTTTAAGACGAGGTTAGTTCTACAGGAAATACAAATTTAAATTAAATGGTGAATGGTAAAATTATTTTACAATTAAGCCGAAACTACTGAGTGTGTTAATAATATAAATGAATACTTAATAAACTGAATTTAAAGAAAAAGAAAAACCGAAAACAAAAGATTGCAAATCAATTACAATTAACCCGTTTCAGAGCAACATCAAACTTCCAATTGATGCCGAGCAGTCAGCTGGCTAAGTGATATTAATACACCGAAAATCCTTTTAAGCTGCCGCGCCGCTGGACTTGCAGAAACTTTAGCACTTGCTCCCATTTACTTGACTCCCCAGTGCAGCCATTCCCAGCCCCGCCCACCATCGGCAAGTAATCGAAACAGCACAAAGGCGGTCGGTCAGCTTAGTCGGCCTTCATTAATTTACACGGCAACTTGGCCGGCGCAGCTTCACTTGAATGGCTTGCTTGCAGCTTGGCTTGCTCTCGAGATTAAAACACTTGGCCGCACATTCCCAGCGACGGAGTCAATGAAACTGGAGGCCAACTCGCCCAGCGAACTTTCCAACTGCAGTTCATACCATTTAGTAGCAGTTTGCTAAATTGCATTGCGTATTTTGCTTTCAGACACAACTTTTTAGCTCGGTGCCAGCTCAATGGGTTATCCAAAAGCATTAATACAAATACTTCAGAAGCAATTAAGTAACAGTCCACAATGGCTATTGGATGCAGGAAACCATTCAGAAAATATAGAAATATATGGTTGATTACAGCCAGAAGTGAGTGCGAGCTGAAAATAAATAACAAGCTCAATAGAACCTCAAGCAAACTAGAATTGACACGAGAGCGAGTTAGTTTTTGCTGTTTGGTGTTGGATTCCATTTCGATGAGTAACATGAAAACCTCCTCAATGACTACAATTCATAATGATAATGATAATGATAAAAGAYGTGAGTGTAGACTGATGTGAAATGAGACTAGAAGCTGTGGACAGAAAAGAGAATTTCACTACATTTTCTAAAAGTATTAGATTTTTACATATTACATAGGATATATGATATGATATTATATGATATAATATATGTTACCAAGGTATGTATTTTTGATGCGGTGAATCACTTTATGAATCCATCTTAAAAAGATAAAGGCTAATTTAAATTTAGTTTATTCTTCTTTCAGAACTATGATATTTTAAATACATAATACCTTGAATATTTATGTGATTATAAAACATATTTCAGGTTTTATATTTTTGATTTCTAATTTTTTTTTTCCTTTTTTTTATTTCATTAAA